AGAGAGAGATGAAGAAGGGATATGTAGGCTTACCGACAAGGGTGAGCGCTAGTGCGAGTATGATTCCCCTCATAGTGCAGGTGAATGGGGCTCTGCTGGACACGGTGAGACTTTTATGGAAGAAAGCTCAGGAACACGTGGCTGTGTTCTGCTGAATTCTCAAGTTTGTTATCAGTTTATGTAAACAATTCCATTTTTGCAATCATACTTTCTGTTCGGATGGCATAACAGAAATCTAGTCATACCTTGGCTTCCCACCAGTTTTCTCATATAAGCTCTTTGATGTATTGTTTAAAAGTTTCTACTTATCCTAGTAAAACATTTTTACTAGGCCGCTTACAATAAATTTACAATAAGCACATTACTTAATTTTCTAGATTGTGTCATGTCTGGTTGCTGGTATTTGGTCCTGCCACAGATTAGGTTGATTTTGCCCAGGTTATGCTGACCTGGCATCTGACCCAAACTGTTATCTAACTGATAGTGGCCCAATTAACAAAGTAGAAGCAGTGTCATACACATTAACAGTGTTCTTTCTCTTCCCTCAGCATTGGTTTATTGCCACCCCTGTAAACAGGACATGAGATAAACCCTTGCTATTCTTATATTCATATGGGCACCAAAGACCACTTAACATCCTACAGAAAACACCTATATATGGAAATTACATATTTATTTAAATAAATCAGAGGATCAGTGTGTCCTTTCAGCTCCGGTCACACTGACCAGGAATATTTTTTAAATTAACAAAGATTTCATAAGCTATCTGCAAATATTTTATCTTCCAAGGTAAATGACAGCTAAACGTGAACAATTAAAACCCACAGAGGCTCTTAGCAGCACAGCAGGGGGAATGGGAGTGCAGGTCAGCTAGAACTTTTTGCATTTCCCAAGGAGCCAAATGCAATACGCAGCCAAGCACCTGAGCTGATGCAGGCTCGCAGCCAGCTTCGCCACCAATTTACACTGGCAGCCCGGGAGCACATTTACACAGGTGGTCTGTTCGAGAAATGTCGGGGCATGGATGCAATTGGAGATGCATAAAACACACTTGCCCTTTCTGAGCTTGCTGATAGATTGATAATCACAAAAAGGGAGGAATTGGTTCTGGTTAATCCCCCCAAAAGTTACAGAGTCTTCCAGAGTGAGCTGGGTGTCAACAGGATCAACAAAAGAAGGCAAGAAAAATGCACAGGAGGGTAGTTCTGGAGCGGTAACTTCAGGCAATGCAATAAACTGTGGCTTCAAGTCACACGAAAGACATGAATCCGATTCTAATTCAACATTACAACACATTGGTTATTCAGTCACTTTTATTCTGTTCCCACACTACCTATGGTTATAAGATTAGCCACAGGAGCGTGATTTGTGGCAAACACTATTTTAACCACCACAAAAGAACATTTGTTTTCTGTTCAGCAGTTTCTACAGTCTCCTACTAGCAACTGCTCTCCCTGGGTTGTCAGTCCCACAAGCTTTGACTTCTTCAGACAGATTTCTTCTGGGCTGTAAATGTACCTGGGGCTGTGCAACCCCTATTTTGAGAGCTGCCACCCAGCTGACTGCAGAAGACTGCATTTGGGGTGGGCACGTTAGCAAGGTCTGGCTCCTTTTTCATGAGCATCGATCTGTTACTGCGTTCAAGGGAACAAGCATGGTTTTTGCCTCAGGTGACAAACTTTTCATGATGATGTTGGCAAGCTTCTCCGTACAATCGTAATTAATTATTTATCATTGAACATTTCTTTAAAACCAGCTTACCCGTGACGTCTTGTACAACCCAAAACTTTAATAAAGGAACATGAGGACTGTGTCAGTGTAAAAACTATGACAATGTACACCATGGGGCTTGTTATTATTATTATTTTTTTAATTACCGTGCAACTTTGCGGGGTATAGTGAACGTTAAAGGTCAGATGTATTGTCTGAAAGCAACAAATAAATCATCAGATAATGTCAACATTTCTTTTGGGATCACTTTTTGGATCAAACTATACCAACCTTTCGTACCTTGTCATCTATTTCTCTCACAAATTAGATGGGGGGTGGAAGGGAAGAAGGTAAAAGCAAGATATCTCACATGTCTTCATACAGAAAGGTTTGTGGTAACTGCAAATTGAAAAAAAAAGAAAAAAGCACAAGTAGTAGCTAAGCTAATTCAACATACACAACATTGCCACTACCCTGTACATACTACTATTTTCCTTTCAAGAATAACCTGTTGAAATTGGTATTGTCTTGGGGATTTATTAGTTACCTTGGCCCAGTTGAAGAGTACATAGAATAATCCCGGAGAAAAAGCTAGGTTATGGTCTGATTGTTTTCATACACACAGGATTATTTTTGCCCTGCTGCAGCCGAAATAGAGCAAGTCTGCAGAAGCTGGTGGAAGCAGTTCTTCAAATTGGGAAGAGGGCTGTTTTGTAGGGAGAATGTTTTAAGTTTTCATTTATTATTTTTTTTGTGTACAGTCCATTTTGAAAAAGCCATATTGTATCATCCTCAACCACTGGGGATGAAAGGGAAAAAAGTTTACAGCTGTAATGTAATCCTGGAAAGTAAGTTCTCATACCTCATTAGACTGATATTTATGGTAAAAGCACTCTCTTATGCAGGCTGAAAACTAAACAATGCATGTTATCTTTAAAGATTTTGTGAAATAAATCACCATAGTTTAAGAGAACCAGTCATCTTTTCAGTATCATACATCAGCAGCTACCAGTAACTGTATGCTGGTCAGTCACTGGCAGTCAGCACTTGTTCCTTCTCCAGTAGGCTGCGTGCTCTGTTCCCTCACATATGGACCTGGGTGCAGCGACCCACCCGTTTTACAGCCCTGCGAGCAGTCTCCCCCTTTGCTCTTCAACAGCCTCTGAGTAAGAAAGACCCTGAAGCTGTTTCCACCACAGTGAAGTATTGCAGTGCCACCACACCACCAGCCAGCAGTGTTCAGAGCACTGCGAGCAGTAGCTTCAGATTTAAAGGCTTCCTGATCACCGCATAGAGAGCAATCCAAAAACTCCAGCAATGTTTTCTTTCCTTACGGGGACAGGACTGAATCTCTGCCCCAGACTCCCAGACCAGGTCTAAGAGGTCAGCTCAGGACTCAACTCCATACACTCTTCTAGCGCAGCTGGTTCTTCCACGGAGGCATTCAAGGGAGTTTCCAATTCTGTAAGATGGGTTACAAAATGTTAAAGCAAAAAATGGGTACAAATGTTTATTAACTGCTAGGCACAAACAAGAGATCAAATAGGTAAATTATTTTCTTCTTCAAAGGCAGGACTATGCCAGTGGTTACTGTCACGAAGAAAAGCCGCCCAGTGCAGAAGCCCACCTGCAGGGTGGGGCTGAGGCCCCAGCGAGCGCAGCCCCTAGCAGCACGCTGACACCGCCTCAGCCAGGCCTCGCAGGCCGGCAGCAGCCTGATAGCTCCAGAACAACCACCCTACATGCAGGGTACCGTTCTCCCACTTAACTGCCAAAACGCTAAACTTTTCACTTACTTAAATGTTTTTTGTACATGTATATTTATCCTTCGATAACTAAAATTCAGGCAAGAGCTGTCCAACACGTTGTGGGGACGGTGCAAGCCCAACTACACACTGCTAAACCCTTTCAGCAGGTGACATCACTGGTCACCCATTTACTGAGGGGGAACTAGAGAAATAAATAAAAGAAGAAATACGATATTATTTGTATTGTCTCTCCAACCTGTCTACCTGTGCAGCAGAAAGCCAACCAAGAGGATCATTACATACACTTCTGCTTCCTTAAGCGTGCTGCTCGAGAACCATACTACAAGTATCCTCTGCAGTTTGCACTAGCTACTACTTCATCTGAAGCTGTAACTCTGCAAACTGAGCTAATCAGCAGAAACTGCAGTTTTCTGCCTTAGCTTCTTGGAGAACTCTAGCTTCTTCTCTCCTATATTATTCTACAGCTGTTTTTCCAGGTAGTCCAACCACTCCCTTACATTCAGTTCTGCAGATAATGGGCAGAACAGCAATGCATTTTCAGTGAAGGATTTTAAGTTTCAGAATTTATTTCCTTCCTATGACCCTGAGGTTTCTTAGGCATCTTCCAAAGCATCGGTTACACTAAGATTAGAGCCACACGCATGCATTCACAGCTGCATGAAAACCCAACCAGAGACAAGATTGATTTGCAACAGGCAAGGAAAAGCACGTGCTTTGATTCGGGTGAAAAAGACTTTGAAACATCTTACATCCACTTGGCTATTTTTATTACATTATAAAGATAACAGATTTCCTAAAGTCTACACCAAAAAAAATTCTGGAGTCAACTACAAGGAAAGACTAATAAAACACAAAACCAGCATCAGATTTCTTGACATAGCGAACCTTGGCCCCACAAACCATTATAACCTGAAAAAGTTTAGTGCGCACAAAACACAGAACCAGGGTTTCTTAGAATAGAATTACATGTTTATTGTTCACATTTGAAATAACTTGGTTCCTTACTGAACCATTGAAAGCCCTAATGCATCTGTAAACTGAGTATCACTATAAAACAATCTAAAATGTCATGTAAAATAATATTATGTATGCATGTGTTTCATAGTTTCTTAGCATAATCACTTTGTCTATTTACAAATATATAAAGATTTTGCACTTTAAGTCATCTGAAATATCAAAGAGGTATTTTCAAATCACACAATAAATATAGAACCTGTTTTGTTAAAAATCCACAGTATACTGTACATTCAAGTTGAGGCAAAAGTAGTTCAATGCCAGTTACACTTGGGACATAAATGAATAGTTTCCAATAATTAAACAATTTCTAAAAGTGCTATCTCTGCCTGTGATGAAAGGTAACATTAGGATCCAATATTTTGTTACAGTCAGAGTTTCAGACCATTGCTTCATTCACAGAATCAGAGCTTCTGCTACTAGAAAAATATCAAAGCTTTTATGTATTTTTAAATTATCTTCTTTCAAGAGTTGCAAGAACGAGAAAAAATGGTCTAAAAAAAATAAAAGCCATGTGCACGCACATACATACACACACCACAATTCAGACCACCACATAATCCTCTAGAAGAATCAAACTCACAGCATTCTGTTTTGCTTGAGAATGGTAAGTTTATGAACAAATCTCTAACAAAAAACCCAGCAGGCAACCCTAGGAAGTCTAAGGCAGTCGTTCTACGCTCAAGTCTCTACGTAACAGAGTGCCAGCTCCAGAGTCTTCCCATGACACTGTGCATTAATCCGTTCCTTCGTGGTCACTTTCCTCCCACTGATTTGGCTTGCTATCTCCAGCAGGTTTTTCTGATGCAGCACTGGAACTGGAGGAAAAAAAGAGAGTGTTAACAATGCAAATAACCAACGATTCAGATAGAATCACAGTACGGTGATTCTATATGATGTTTAATGTGTTTTGCTATATATCAGTCATAAGCCTTGGACTGGCTTTCTGGAAGTTATCACAACTTTGTCTTTGTGCTCTACATAGAGTTTAGCACTAGGGAAATTACCATCTGCAACATCATTTCAGATACCTGTCACGTGTAATATACTGAGATGTCTGGCAAGGTTCTGCTGAAACAGGACCACTCAACATACAGTGAAGTTTTCTTTGCTGAGGTGTCGATTTCACTAACCGGTTGTCTTGGTCAGAACCTAAGAGATATACATATTATCATCAGTTAAACTACAGTGCAACCAAAAACACTTGAAGGACTTGCTTCTTTATGTCTTCTGCTTTAAAAAAGCCTCCCCAAACGTCTTACGGCATATCTATAATAATAAACCTTATTGTTACAGATCTGTGATATGATTTCATAAGTACACTTAATGCTACTAAATGTTAAAATTAGGATTCTAGATTTGAAAATGAAGCATTTACATACATAACCACTGCTGCAAGTGGTCATACTGAAGTGAAGTTTCAAGCCACTGGAATGTAAAGTCTTGCACTTTGCAATTGATAAAGCTTTTTTACTCCTTAGGTGAAAACTTCTCCACCATGCAAACTAACACCAACATGAGAACTTGCAAACTTGGCAGAGTATACAAAAAACTCAAACGCCTTAGCATTTATATGAACTTACCCATTACTAAAGTCAATGGAAAGACACGGCCAAACTTGGTAGGGTCAGATCAGTCCCTGATAACTCTCCCTCACATTTAGATTTCGAAATGGAAAAGACAGAATGACTCTGTATTCTATGGTATTCATCATAGCCCTACATAATTAAGAACTTTTTGGACAAATTTAACATTAAAACAATTCTAATGATAACCTGTGGAATAATATCCAAAGCATAGTACGATTCTGTGCATGGCAGACATATTTTTGTTCTTGTTATCCAGTAGCTTAAGATTTGGATATATAAGATTGAAGAATGCTATATAGAAGAGAAAATATGGCATTACATACATCCATAAACACTAGAATTTGGGAAAGGCTATTACAAATCATATGTCATAAGATACCCATATAGCCACACTTTCATTGTCTTTTATGAAAAAGTATTCCTTTATGAAGATTTGAATCTTAAAATTCAACTCTTTGTTGCTCAAATTTATTTTTATTAAGCTCTTTTCACTATTTCTTTTTCCAAATGATTCTTTTTTTTACTGAATATGTATGTGTACCCACATTTAACTATTTGAGATGAGGTAATACTAATGTTGCCATCTCCACATTATGATGCGCTTAATTCCAAAGCCTGTCTATACAAATCTCTAGGTCATGATTTCAACTGTCTTGGTAATTTACATGCTCACATTTAATTTAGTAATTCTAAAAGTTCCCTGTTCTTGACATAACTAATTATAAGGAGGGGAGTTATCATGATTCCCTTTTTCAAAGGAGATTCTGAACCATCAGTTACCCTGACAGGAAGAGGCATACAGATACATCGTAAAATTTGTCTTGGGAAGTTTTGGTTTTCTAAGTTTGTTCATATTCGCATCTTCTAGTTGAAAGGGGGGAAAAGAAACACATTACAGCAACATAATTTGAACCAAATACTTGCTTCCTAAGAAGGCACTTGGAGTTGTCACATTTTCAGAGCACTTGTAATCAGTAGACATACTTAAGAACTGTTGCTTCAGCCACGCTCCTCTATCTTCTTCAAATGCCTTTCTCTAGGAGAAGAAATGACAGTGTACACTTATGACCACAGGAACAAGCCTGGCCCACATTAAATTGATGCTATTCCATCTAAGAAAGCAAAAGTTGTAACATGTCCACCTAATTAAGGAGAGCCAGCAGTTTAACACCGAATTACAGTCATGTTAGCAAGCTTTTCAGTCCAACAAGGATTAGCTGAGGAGGTATTTATTCACAAGCCAAACCCCATGGTTAGTTTCACAGAGGTTTGACTAATCCTTTCATTTTACTGTTCTGCACTCCAGCGACGTAATCTCCTACCACTGCCTCCTATGCTCCCCTTCCCCCTCCGTGTAGCACTCATTTCTGGGCAGCTGCCAATAAGGATTACTGCTTAAGGCTCAACCCTGAGCCTTTGCCTAAACAGATAGAAAATTACACTGAAAACAGCACTGATTACTTCCATCCAAAACTGGGGCAGAAAGAAAGAGGTTATTTCATTTTCCAATCACGCTGGGCACAGAAGTGGAAAATAATGGCTAAAAGAACCTCCAAAAGATCCAATGGCTCTGGAATCAAGTGACAAGCCATTCCATCTCCAAAAGCTGTCAGTGAAACAGGATGTCCCTATTATATAAAATTATTTCTACTGTCAGTAGAAAATAGAGCAATGTAAACTGTTTTAAACACCTACAAATCTTACAGTATTGCTCCTCTTCTCATACTTAAGCACTTTCACAAGCAGAAGCATGGGTAGTTATGCTTATGCTGTAATGTAGTCCTAAACGTTTCTGGACAAACAATTATCATTTATTATCACTCAAGACTTTTAAAGCTTAATTCAGGGCCCAACATGAAATTCATGAACTTACAGTGCAAATAAAATTAAATTAAAAAGTTGAAGAATACATATCTATGCATAGTTGTCCAAGTCAATATCTGTCACAGTATGAACTACTGTTGTGCCAGTATTTCATGTAAAATCTAAAAAGTATTTTATGTTCTTTAAAATAAATTTTACAGTATAAGAATAAAAAAGCTGTCTTGATTCAGACAAGTTGTCCATCTAGCTCAGCATTCTGTCTCCAGCCATGGCCACAAGAGGTGCTGTTTATGAGATCACATGAACCTGGCCACTTTCTGCAGCACATTCCCTCAGAGGTTCCCCACCCCAAAAAAATTAGAGATATTGGAGGGCATCCCCTTATCCTCTCCTTTTAGTAGCCATCTGTGCATGTGTTGGTCATGAGCTTAGGCAACTGCTTTTTGAACCTGCTAGTGCTGATTGCCTTTACAATCTCCTGTGGCAGCGAAATCCGGCAACTACCTGATACATAAAAAAAGTACTTTTAAATATGTTTTAGACTTCATTTCAAGCAGTTTCTGATAGTTCCCTCTAGTCCTAATCTTGAGAGATTTGGTGAACAACAGTACTGCTTTCATCTAACTTTTAATCACATCCCATTCCAACTTTCTCATCTGTGTGTCAAAGCAAGCAGTTCTGGAAGCAATAAATCTAAACCCCATTTTTTTTCCTTCAATGGCTTTTTTTCCCTCTGATATCTGTACCATCATAGCTTCATAACTACATCG